AACGGAAACAAGTCCTGTGGTATGCTGGCGCCACGCACGTGGTACCACTCAAAATAATCTTTGCTTGTGTGGTACAGAAACGGAAAAACGTCGGAAAACGGTACAGGTGTCCAGTGTTGGAACAGGGGGATAAGTCGTATACTAAGCTAGCTTCCACAAAATGTTACCACAACAAGTCATTGTACCCATGCGCCAGTGTAGTAGCCAAGGTCGTCCGCAGGCCACGAAGTGAAGTGTCCGAACGTCATAGGGCGGGAAGCTGGGTGTGGTGGTGGCGAAGAGTCGTCCTAAACTTGGTAGAGCTTGAACCGGCCCCCCCACAAAGTGGGGGCATTGCCCGCCTCCTATGAAAACCCTGGCACTGGTGAGAACGGAGTGTCCCCAGTCTTAAATGATTGTTGTTGTTGTTGTTGTTGTTGTTGTTGTTGTTGACGAAACCACTAGCTGGCGGACCGGCCCCCCCCCCCCCCCCCCCCCCGCGCAACGCAGCGCAACGCAACGCAACGCTCTCCCCGCGCGCCCCCCCGCGGGGCGTACAGGGACCCGTGCAGGGTTCTATAGGGCTCCCACAGGACCCCTACAGGGTTCCATAGGATTCCTATAGGACCCCTACACGGTTCCATAGGATTCCTATAGGACCCGTACAGGGTTCCATTGGACTTTTGTAGGAGCCGCACAGGGTTGGATCGGACCCCCATAGGACCCCTACAGGGTTCCATCGGATTCCCATAGGACCCGTGTAGGGTTCCATTGGACTCCTATAGGACCCCTACAGGGTTCCATGGGACTCCCATAGGACCCCTACAGGGTTTCATAGGACTCCCATACGACCCAGACAGGGTTCCTGAAGACTCCCATGGAACCCCGACAGGGTTCCATAGGACTCCCATAGGACCCCTACAGGGCTTCATATGACTCCCATAGGACCCCTACAGGGATCCATCGGGTTCCCATAGGACCCGGACAGGGTTCCATCGGGTTCCCATAGGACCCGGACAGGGTTCCATGGGACCCCCATAGGACCCGTACAGGGTTCCATCGGACTCCCATACGACCCCTACAGGGTTCCATCGGATTCTCATAGGACCCGTACAGGGTTCCATCGGACTCCCATAGGACCCCTACAGGGATCCATCGGGTGCCCATAGGACCCGTACAGGGTTCCATCGGACTCCTATAGGACCCCTACAGGGTTCCATGGGAGGCCCATAGGACCCCTACAGGGTTTCATAGGACTCCCATACGACCCAGACAGGGTTCCTTAAAACTCCCATGGGACCCCTACAGGGTTCCATAGGACTCCCATCGGACGCCTACAGGGTTTCATAGGACTCCCTTAGGACCCCTACAGGGTTTCATCGGACTCCCATAGGACCCCGACAGGTTTCCATAGGATTCCCATAGGACACGCATAGGATTCCATAGGATTCCCATGGGACCCCTACAGGGGTCCATCTCTTCTTCTTTCTGCTCCTGCGCGTACCGCTTCTTGCGATATCAACATTCGAGGTTATTTTCGTGGTTAGCCGGCTCCCAGGCGTGGCTCGGACCCTGGGGACCTGGGACAGCGGTCCTCGTTATCGCTTGGGCGTGTGCATTGTTCGTCGTTGTCGTCGGAGGGGGAGGAGGAGGAGGAGGAGGAGGAGGAGGAGGAGGAGGAGGAGGAGGAGGAGGAGGGGGAGGAGGAGGAGGAGGGGGATGGGGGGAAGGGGGAAGGGGAGGAGGACGAGGAGGATGTAGAGGAGGAGGAGGAGGAGGAGGAGGACGAGCCTCTAGAGGCCTCGGGCCCCGCCTCTCACGGCGCCTCCCCCCAGACCCTCCAGAGCGCCCCATCGGGAACCCAAGCGAGAACAATCCGTCTAGGATCCGTAAGGGATCCCATACAGTCCGTATAGGATCTGTATACAGTCCGTATAGATCCCATACAGTCCGTATAGGATCCGTAGGGGATCCCATACAGTCCGTATAGGATCCGTAGGGGATCCCATACAGTCTATATAGGATCCGTAAGGGATCCCATACAGTCCGTATAGGATCCGTATGGGATCCCATACAGTTCGTATAGGATCCGTAGGGGACCCATACAGTCCGTATAGGATCCGTATGGGATCCCGTACAGTCCGTATAGACGCCGTATGGGATCCTATACAGTCTGGATAGGATCCGTAGGGGATCCCATACAGTCCGTCTAGGATCCGTATGGGATCCCATACAGTCCGTATAGGATCCGTATGGGATCCCATACAGTCCGTATAGACGCCGTATGGGATCCTATACAGTCTGGATAGGATCCGTAGGGGATCCCATACAGTCCGTCTAGGATCCGTAAGGGATCCCATACAGTCCGTATAGGATCCGTAGGGGATCCCATACAGTCCGTATAGGATCCGTAGGGGATCCCATACAGTCTATATAGGATCCGTAGGGGATCCCATACAATCCGTATAGGATCCGTATGGGATCCCATACAGTCCGTATAGGATCCGTATGGGATCCCATACAGTCCGTATAGGATCCGTATGCGATGCCATACAGTCCGTATAGGATCCGTATGGGATCCCATACAGTCCGTATAGGATCCGTATGGGATCCTATACAGTCCGTATAGGATCCGTATGGGATCCCATACAGTGTATAGGATCCGCTCCCATACAGTGGGAGCTCCCGTAGGGTCACACACCCCCCACCTGCCCGCGCAACGGAACACAACGCAACAGAGGCTGCTCATACAGCCGTGTTGCGTTGCGTTGCGTTGCGTTGCGGGGGGGGGGGGGGGGGGGGGTCCTGGTACACCAGTGGGTTGTTTCGCTACATGGAGCAAAACAGCGAACTGGTGGACCGGCTCCGGGTACACCAGCAGGTTGTTTTGCCTTGTTGTTGTTGTTGTTGCTGCTGCTGCTGTTGTTGTTGTTGTTGTTGTTGTTGTTGTTGTTGTTGTTGAACTCTCATTCTTGAAGAATAATTATTGTTGATCCCCCCCCACCGGTGCACATTGATTTTTTTCGATTGAAGTGCCACCCCCGGGGCTCGCACCTTGTTTTTTCTCAAGGAAAGTCTTCCTGCTCAAACTGTGCCCCTGCCCCCCGGGCTACAACAACAACGGCTCCCGCCTGAGACTTCCTCGATTTTTACTCAGGACCCCCGCTCCCGCCTGAGACTTCCGCGCAATTTACTCAGGAAAGGCGCTCCCGTCTGAGACTTCCTCGCAATGTAATCAAGACCCCCGCTCCCGCCTGAGACTTCCGTGCAATTTACGTGGGAACGGCGCTCCCGCCTGAGACTTCTTCGAATTTTACTCAGGACCCCCGCTCCTGCTTGACATTTCCGCGCAATTGACTCAGGAACGGCGCTCCCGCCTGAGACTTCCTCGCAATTTAGTGAGGACCCCCGCTCCCGCCTGAGACTTCCGTGCAATTTGCTCAGGAACGGCGCTCCCGCTTGAGACTTCCTCGCAACTTAGTCAGGGCCCCCGCTCCCGCCCGAGATTTCCTCACAATGTACTCAGGACTGCGCTCTCGCGTGCGACGTCCTCACAAATTATTCTGGAATTGCGTTTCGGCGCTCAGGAACCACGCACGCGCCAAGGACGCCTTCACAACGTGGTATCTTCCCTCTTCCTTCGTCCTTCCCCCTCCCCTTCCTCCCACTCTCCCTCGTTCTTCCCCTCCTCCTCTTGCAGGGCCCGCGCCAATTCCAATGGCGGGCAGAGAGATGTACGCCCCCGAAGGATTGTCCGCCCGTTCCGGTTTGCCCGTACGTCTAAGCCCGCCGGCCCTAGCAAAGAGAAGTAATCCCCCCGAAAGGGGTGTGATCGAAGACGAAGAGGGCGGGTTTCGAGGGTGTAGGGTATACGTGTTGAACGACTCGCGGGCAAGTAAGAGCGTACAGCCTTAAAATGGTTGTTGTTGTTGTTGTCGTCGTTGTTGTCGTCGTTGTTGTTATTGTTGTTGTTTTTGTTGTTTTTGTTGTTGTTGTTGTTGTTGTTGTTGTTGTTGTCGTTGCGTTTTTTGTTGCCTGGTGAATTTATGTGAAACCGTTGTGGCGGTGCCGTCAGGCAACGGGTGCATAGTGCGGGAGCGCGTGTGATCCAGAGCCTTCGTCTGCCATGACGAACCCTTTCGATATTGTCAAGCGTCTCGCAGTCAGTGCCCCGTGTTGCCGTTGCCGATTCCCCGAACTCGTCGGGGGCCCTTTCCTGTGACCCGTCATTCTCTACCTATTCATGCTTTTTGCGCCCCTGGTGTATCCTGGACGTTTCGCGTATCCCCACCAGCCAAGTCGACCGAAGGGACCTGGGAACTAGAGAGCTCCTGGCGCAGAACCGCCCACAGGCGTACCTCTCTGGTAGGAACTGCAGGTGGCTCTGTGAGAACTGCTGGGTCGCCAGCGTGGAGAGACGAGGGATCCACACCCCACTGGGCGCCGACGTGGCGCAGCGTGTCCAAGACTACAACATAAGCCTAGCGGGCGGCAGGGAGCAGAGGAAGGCGGTAGCCCTTCCCTCCCTTGCGCACCTCCCACTCGGGTACGGTAGAAGCCCGTACGCCGGTGATCCTGGCTCCCTACAGGACCTCTTCATGGTCGCAGTGAACCAGCTTGGAGGTTCAACGACGGAAGGTTCGGCGGCGACGCTCGCAGGACCAGTCTGTGCTCGGCGAAGTTTGACACGTGCCCACCTGATGCTCCTCTCCTCGTGTGGAAGGTCTCGTGCCCTGCCTGAGGCTGCTTCCTGTGGAGGCCTTCGCCTGGCACCGACATTGACGACTGCTCAGGGCTCCCACCATGGGACCAGTGCCTGACCGCCTGGCAGGAGCGGAAATGGAACGCCGCATGGAGCTGCAGGATGTACCTCGTTTGCATGTGGAACATCGCGCCTGGCACCCTGGACCACATCCTGGACCGTGACTCGAAAAAGGTCTACCCGGCGGGCCAAACCAAAAGGCCGCATCAGGGCACGAGGGATTACGGCGCCCCAGACGTTGCCGACCAGCTGCTCCCAGGGCTCGCCACCGCCACCGTCAAGGACGAATGCTCCAAGGAGCCAGCAGCGCGGAGCTTCCTGGATGGTACCAGCGTTTCCTCGGGTGGTAGCGACGGGAGCGCACCCACGATCAGGACGGTGCAGGACCTGATCGCTTTCCTACCCGAGCTCCCCCCGCCAAGGTGCCTCCAGCTCAGTTCGCGATCAGTCGCTGACCTATGCCTGGCGACGGACGACGAACAGAAGTGCAGTCGGACCAACAAGCTCCGCGAGGTACAGCACCTCTTCGTCACCTACCTCCTCGACTTTCACCCAGACGTCGACGCGATCTGGAGGGGGTGCGTGACACTTAAGGGCGCAGCCATCCCCGAGCCAAAGGATCAGGGTGCCTCCTGGCCAGCAAAAAGCTTGGTCCCCTTCCTGGCCAGGATGCATGGCCGCGAGGTTCCAGCAAATGGCTCGCCGCCGCGCGTCAACCGAGGCGGTGAGCGCTGGGCGGCCGCCAGAGCGGTGACGCACCTCGCCGACGGCCCGCGTCGCAGCGAATCCTGGCAGCAGCGCTACACCTCCTTGGCGCGAAGCAGAGGACCAGCCCATTCCTGCGCGAGCTCCCTGTACTCGCCAACTTCCTGTTGGGCCTTGACGCGAGCGCCTTCGCAACAGCCGCCATCGCAAACCTAGCGCGTTCGAGCCCAGTCACTAGCTCGGGCAGCGAGGTGGCCCCGCAGACAGCAGCCGGTGCGGGGACATGGCTCGCTCCCAAGCAAGAGGTCGGCGAGTCGCCCCAGGGCCGGCACGTGGCTCGCAACCCTGGCGGGGACGACCCAGCGGCGATTTCTGGTCGCGTTGACTTGGCCCTGAGCGGCTCAGGGATGGGACCGCCGCCCCCCCATGGCCAGCAAGGGGCCCAGAGGACGGCGACGCACCCGCGGACTCGGTCAGGGGCGAAGAAGAGGAGCTCGACCCACCAGGTGCTGCGAACGACGCCGACGTACACGATGGCGCCAGCGGCATTGCCGCAGAAAGGGATCACTCCGTGGAATTCGGCGGCCCGCGACCAGCATCCCCAGCAGAGTCGCCGAGCGAGCGCGCAGAAGCGAGCGAAGGTTCCCAGCAGCCTGGCAGCTTGTTCCCACCCTCGCTCAAGTGCAGCCGCGAGGACAAGAGTGAGGCGCCCCAGAAGCTAGCCCAAGCCCTGGTGACGATCCTCCTGGTGCCTTCCGGCCGCGCGACCCATCTGCGCCCGCTGCCGCAAGTGCCGCGGCGGCCGCCAGTTCCAGAGGTGATCCGCCCCCACCGAGGCGCCGCAATGCCATCGGTGATAGGGCGCGCACCCAGGCCGGGAACGGGCGCGCAGCGCCCCCTGGCGCCGACGGCAGTGAGCGCCCCTCGACCCCCCGCGCAGCAGCGGCGCGCGAAAGGCCTTTGACCATCTCCTGGACCCGGTTACAGTCGGTAGCATGTATCGTGGACACCTGGGCAGCGTCAACCTGGATCACCACGGAGAGCCCCCAGCCGGCAAGACCGTGCGCCTCCAGACACTTCTAGGATGCGCTTTCAACGGGATCTGGCGCGGCTACGCGCAGAATCACCCTAACCGCGCCAAAGGGATGTCCAAAATCAGCCTCTTCTTGAACGACGAGGCCACGTGCAGGGGCTTCCTGAACGCCTGGCGCAGATGCGGCTTCGACGCCTGCAAGATGGATCGGCAGCTGGATCTCGAAGTCTATTGGCATGCCATACGTGAACGGCATATTAGGGCGACCTCTGGCAAGGGGTCCCACCAGTCAAAGGGGTGGAGCTCTGGCTCCCGGCGCCAGTCCTGGGATTCCTGGGAGTGGTGGTCCCGGCGCGGCTCAGGGCGGTCCTGGTGCGAACGTGACTGGCATGGCGGAGGCAAGGGGGGCAGGCGGAAACGCGACGGTGTAGACCCCGGCGGCAAGCGGTCCAAGTGGTCGTGATCTCTTTGGCGCAGTCGCTGGATGCGTCAGAACCGCCGCCAGAAGGCGCGGCCAGTAGCCAGGCGCCACGCCGTGGGGCCTGATCCCGAAGGGCGGGGGGCGAGGCCAGGCGAAGTGTCAGGGCCGTCACCTGTCGCCGCGAGGCCCGCTGACGAAGGATGCTGGGTCAGGCCGCGGCCAGGCGCGGGAGAGGGCCAGGGCGAAAAAAAACTACAGCAAACGGCAAGGGCCGCGCGACGGCACGCCGCTCCCCGCCCCAGCAAGGGCATCGCGCCAGATATTGACAGCGCCATGGAGCCTGATCCTCAAGGGCGAGGGGCGAGCCAGGCACTGCGCTAGGACCGAAGAGGAGAGGTGTAGGGGGGGGGCGACGCCAGGGAACGCAAGTGGCTAACGGCCACACAGTCAGCTGGCACGAAGGAGAGGGAGGAGAGAGAGGGGGGGGGGGAAACGCTGCACGCGACGCCAAGAAATAGGGTTGGCACTGAGGTGGCTACCGGCCATCAATGCCTGGCACGATGCCCCCTGCTGGGGGGGGGGGGGGGCGCAGCGTGCCACCGCGCGGCCTTGGCCGTTTACTGTAGCTGTTTTCACCCTGGCCTTCTCCCGCGCCCGGCCGCAGCCTGGCCTGGTATCCCTGGTGAGCTGGCCCCCGCTTCGTGGCGTCACTGGACTCGCGCACGCCGCGCCGCTGGCACTTGGCCTGAGGTGTACTCCGCCTCAAGCTGCTTGCTTCGCCGCCCCTCTTGGCGCTGTCTGGCCCCCCCTTGCCACCGCCGCCCTCCCTACCGCCGATCGACTTTGTTGCGGCTTCTGGGCCCTCGCCCTCCGTCCCTGGCGCCTGGTGGTATCCGTGCTGGCTTCTTTGAGCCTGGTGAGGCGACCCTGGCGTCCCGGTGACTTGCGCGTCAACGCGCTCCAGCTAGCGCGCTTGCGTGTTCCTGACTCCTGGTCTTCAGACACTGCCACAGCCTGGCCGTGTTTGCAGCTGCCGCTTGCAATGGTGGGATGCACCTCCACGTGGATTGCTCATGAGTGGCTTGGCCTTCTTGTTCAGCCATCTGAGGTTGCCACTGTTGGCATGCGACACAGGTGCGCTGGACTGCTTGCACAGCCCCGCGCTATGCCGTGCTCTGCTCGGTGGCACGTTTACCTCTGGCGCTTCGCGCGACAGGGTACAATTCGTTTGTCTTCCTGGTGGTCTCGCCTCTGGGGTGGTTGCACTTCGGCCGCTTGGCGCACCTGGCAGCTCTTGCAGCCGGCTTCAGCCCCTGGCGCCGCCCGGCGTCCCTCGGCGGCAACTCTGGCAGCCGTGAGTGCGCGCGCTTGATAAGTAGGTTTCGCTCGTAGCCCAGGCTGACTTCGGACGCCGCCTGCGCCTTCGCCTGCGGCCGCCACCAAAAATCCCCAACGGCCCCCTGCTAGCTGCTAGCCCTGCGTTTGACCCGTTTCGCGCGCCCGCGTACCAAAAAAGTATCCCCACCGGCTCATCCAGACGCGTCCCCAGGCAAATTGCCCTGAGCGGAGAAGGGTAACAGCATGGAGTGGAGCAGAGAGGACACAGGCTCAGCCTTTCGTTCTGGGAGCATCTTGGATCCCTCTTGTAGATATTTGTGGACCTCGTGGGGCTGTTTTCGACGCCAGTGGGGCCTTCTTGGGGGTCTCTCGTGATGGTCTCCTTGTTACAGCTCTCAGGAGGGTATCTTGGGGCGCTCTTGGGTAATCTTGAGGCCGTCTTGAACCTTACGGCAATTTCTTGGGACTCTCTTGGGTGATCTTGGGTCAGTCTTGAGGCCTCGGGAACCCAGCGGAAACGAAAAGGCGAGAAGGCACACATAATGCCGGGTCTGTAACTATGGGGCATATTCTCGCCTCTTTGGGGCATCCCGGGGAGCTCTGTGGCCGCTTGGAGTCGTCTTGGTGCGGTCTTGGGGCATCTTGAAGGCATGTTGGAGGCCTTTTTGATCCATCTCGGGCCAACTATCTTGTCTGATCTTGGAGGCCGTCTTGGACTGTCTGGGATCATCTTGGACCCATCTTGGGCCATCCTGGACAGTCTAGCCTCTCGAGGATGGGGGGGCGTGCAGGCCAAGTCGGGCTGGCAGGGGGGAAGGGCCAAGTTGCCCCCCCTGAAGGCTGGCCGCCTCGCTCACTCCTCGGGCGATCGCAAACATGGATCAAGGGGGCGTGGATTAGCGACGGGTCCCGTTTCCATGGGAAATCACAGATTGCCGCCGGGCGAGGCGGAACCGGCCGCATTTTTGGGAGGGCACCTCCCCCGATCCATGGATTTGGCGACCGCGCGCCAAATCCATGGATCGCTGATCCATGTTTGCGCGCCCCCGGACTCCCACCCGCCCTCCCTCCACACAAGTAGCTCTCGAGTCTCAGCATGGGCAGAGCCGCCATCGACCATCATCGGAGACCAACGCAGACGCCAGCCAGGTGCGCGACGCCCGCGAGGTGCGCCGCGCGTGCCAGGCCCCCCCGTGATCCTCGGCCAGAAACGGTGCAAAGTGATCACGGGGCGCCCACGCATGATCGTTGCCGGAAGGTGCATTCAGTATTGTTGTTTGAAGTGGACGGTGGGCCTGCGAGCAGCAGGCAATATGCCGGTTCCCTCGCCTCGTCCCTGTCAGAAAGTAATGCGACGTAATCGGTTGGCGCCCGCGGGTGGTCCAGATTTTGCCGCAGCGTGCATTTTGCATTGTCTGTCCAGCAGGGGTGGCAGGGGGTGTTGGTATGGTTCTGGGATCGCCCCCGATCAGGCGGGGGAGGGAGTGTACTTTGATAAGGAACGAGGATAAGCCCTTCCCCGAAGGGACAAAAGGGGTTTCGGGAAAACGAAGTCGTTGCGGCCCTCACGCCCTAAGATGCTGGTGGGACTCCTCCTGCCCCGCCCTGCAGGCTTCGATGCGCATCCGACGTGGTACCCGGGCTACACCAGTGAGTCCAGTTTCGAGGAGGTGCAGGACGCGCTTGCACCTGAATCACCCGTTGTCCAGCTGAGTGGGGCGCATCCCATTCTGTTCGGACATCGGACATGTCTTTGCTGATGCTTGAGTAACCGTTCCAGGTCTCGTGTCATGTGGCGGTCACATTGACACCCTCATGTGACTCCACTCTGCAGCTGCACCAATCTGGGCTCTTGTTCGAGCAGTAGCCGCGATTTACAGCAGCAGACTGGGAGCCTCCTCCCATGGCTTTCTCAGGAGACCCGGGTGGTGCAACTCGAACTCTCTCGGGCTTCCGCGACTCAAGTTTCCAGCTTTATTTAATCGCTTCGCTCATTCCGTCGGCCCTGGAGCCTTCTTTAGGGCCTCTTGGGGACCTCTTGGGGACCTCTTGGGAGTCTCTTGGGGCTCCTTGGCGGCGTCTTGGGGGCCCCTGCTGCAGCCTCTTGGGGGGCTCTTGGGGACCTCTTGGGTCAGGAGGGGGTAGTCGATTGCGCCCCTCCCCTCGGAGGCCACGATCCTCGTGAGGGGTGTCGAAAAATTGCCCGGTCTGGCATCTCTGATCAGAGTGTCCCGGGGGTGTCCCGGGGGTCTCCCGGGGTATTTGTCGTCCGGGGACCCCCAGGGGCGGCCCCGCGCGCGCGAGCTAGAATATTGTTAACCAGTTACCGGAGATCTTAGCACGCCCTTGGCCCGTTGGGCCGGCGAATTGTGGCCGCCCGTGTCCACCCCTGCGGATCGGCATACGACTGCAGGACAGGACGGCTGGGCACCTCGGCTAGCGATGGCTCCCGCCGAAGGCGTACCTGGATTTCGCCCCCCCCCTCGGGTCCATTCGCACGGCTACCGCGTGTAGGCCTCCCCTTCCCCCCTCCTTCCCCCTTCCAGCCTCTGCCCTTACTTTAAACCCTCGCCCTCCCCATGAATCCCCCTCTCCATACCCGTACCTCTCCTCCTCCTCCTCCTCTCCCTCCCCCTTCACAACTACTCACTATCGGCCTATCCTGTATATGGCTTCTTGTCTCACGCAGGGTTGCCCCAAGGTGACCGCCGATCTGGTTTTCTGGTCAGAACTTTCTCGGCTCTCAGAAGTCGTGTTCTGGCTGCAGCGATGGCCGCACTCAAGGCTTTCGAGAGAGCCTCCGTGCAGTGGAACGTCGCTCTCGCTGCATCTCTGGCCGTGATCTTGCATCAGCAAGAGTGGTGCTCCGCTGAATCGTTTGCCGCGTTTCAGAACTTCCACTCAGTGTCCGTCCACTGGAAGGACGCGCTCGCCGCAACGCTGACCGTGCTGTTGCATCAGCCCACATATAGCTCTCATTGCAGCGTTCACCACATTAATAAGGATTTCCCGTCTTCCTCGTCGCCTTCCTCCGTCCGACCTCATGCCCCGTCCGTTCATGCTCCTTTTCCCTTCTCTCCCCCGCCTCCTTAATGTCCCTCCCAGTCCCCCACCGCCTCCTTCATGTCCGTCCCAGCTCTTGATCTCCAGGGCCCTCTTGGACAGCGTCTTCCTCTCGTGATCCACGTCTTCTTCGACATGCGACTCTGCGAGTAGAGGTGACCAGCTCCAGCGTGAGGATGGGAGAAACGTACACGACGTTAGGAATAGCGCGAGCGCATCGATTTTGTCGTTCCCCCCTTCTACCCCCACCTCCCTCCCCCACTCCCTCCCCTCCTCCCCTCCCTCCCTTCTCCCCTCCCTCCCCTCCCCCCCTCCCCCCTCCCCCCCTCCCTCACTTCTCCCCTCCCCCTCTCCCTACCGATTTTGTCGTTCCCCCCACCCCCCTCCCCTTTCCATTCCCCCTCTCACCCAGTACCACCCCCATCCTGAGCCTCGCCCTCCCTCCACCCCTCCTCTACTTCCGCGCCTTCGTCCTCGTCCCCCTCGTCCTCCACCTTACTGTAGTCGTCGTCGTCATCGTCGTCGTCGTCCTCCTCCTCCTCCTCCTCATGCCCCTGTCCCTGCACCTCCTACTCCTCCTCCTCGTCCTCCTCCTATTCCTCCTCCTCCTCCTCCTCCCCTCTCCTTCTCTTCTTTCTCCTCCTCCTCCTCCTCATGCTCCTTCTCCTGCCCCTGCCCCTCTTCTTCTTCTTCTTCTTCTTCTTCCTCTTCCTCCTCCTCCTCCTCCTCCTCCCTTCTCTTCCTTTTTCTCCCTCCTCCCTTCTCTTCCTTTCTCTCCCTCCTCCTCCCTTTTCTCCCTGCCTCCCCGTCCCTCCCCCTCTTCTCCCCCCCCCTGTCCTCCCCTCCCGTCGGGCTGTGCGCCTGCAGGGCCCGGGGCCCCGGTCCTGCCCTCCGAGACCTCCCGGCGGGGCAGGCGTGGGCTCGAGGGCAGGCTGTGCCCGCGAGCTTCCCCGGCGAAGGGGAGGGCGGTTAGAAGGAGGGGGGAGGGGGAGGGGGGAGGAAGGGGGAGGGGGGGGGGAGGAAGGGGGAGGGGGAGGGAGACAGGAGGAGGAGGAGGGGGAGGGGGAGGACGGGGGGAGGGGGTGGAGGAAGGCGGAGGGTCAGGAGGAGACCCTTCCTCCCCTCCCCTCCCCCTCAGCGGTAGTCTTGAGCGCAGTGTTGCCTCCGCGACCTGGCCAGCCAGCATTCCGCGTCGCAAG